AGGCGGTGAAAAGGAGCCGCAGTGGGTCCAGTTGCCAGGGCTGCTAGCTCTTTCCGTGGACGGCTTCACCCACCGCGGCCCTCCTGTCTTCCTCTCCAGGGGGGACTGGGTCTTAGAGGTCATGGTCAGGCCGATGGAATGCAAACCGCGGCCGCCCTGCACGAGCCTGCCCAGGCCCAGAGCTTAGCCTCCCGAGGCCTGTTCCCTCCCTGGGCCAGGGCGCTGCGGTCCAGCTGCTGTATCGGGCCTTCCTCTGGCCGTTACTGCTCCCCCGCCCCCAGTTCTCCTAGGACTCTGGGTCCACCTGCAGCCCTCTGTGAGCCCTTGCTTTGCTTTGGCGCTGGCTTCCTTTTTCCCGAGGGGAGGAAAACCTCCCCTTGTGTACACAAAACCTGCTTCCCCGTCTGATCCCAATCCGAGGTCGGGTCATCTCACTCGAACCCAGGAAAGAGCTTTCCCTGGCTCGACACTGGTGCCTCACCCCCACCCGCCTCCTCTCCTCACGGGCCTGCTCCTCCCGCACCAGCTGGGGGGGGAGAGGGAGGAAGTCTGGCGGAAGGTCACCTTGGGACTCTGTCCCCACCTGGTGCCTCGCTCCAGACCCGTGTCCTCTCTGCCTGGCCCAGCCCGAAAACCTGCTCTACACGTCCAAGGAGAAGGACGCGGTGCTCAAGCTCACCGACTTCGGCTTTGCCAAGGAGACCACCCAGAATGCCCTGCAGACACCCTGCTACACTCCCTATTACGTGGGTGAGTCCTCAGGCATGGCGTGTCCCCCCCTTCCCACACCGCACCCTGCCGTGGCGTGGGGCGCCGGTGGGTTGCAGAAGCCAAAGGGTTAAAGCCCGGTGGCGAGGGAGGGGCGTTCTGTGAGCGTGGGGGCAGTGAGGTGGGGGGCCGGAGGCTGCAAAAATATTCTTCCGAACTTCAGCTTCTGCTTTTGAAAATAGATCCAGGAAAATTCTGGCTGTGGCCTGTGAGCCAGATGACATCACAGCAGCTCTAAATATATACGTGATGAAGTCTGCTCAGCCCGGGCAGAGCCCAGCGCGCGGGTTTTCTCTCTCCGGTGCTTACCTTCCTGGGACTCAGATGCGGAAGGGGCCAGGCCTGTCCTCCTACAGGAGGGGCGCGGGCTCCAGCCGCCTCCTGTGGCCGGACGGCACCTGGGTGCACACACTCATGCTTCCTGGAAAGTTCCTTGCTCCCTGTGAATGGGCAGCCCTCAGATCCGGAGGTGTCCCTGCTGAAGGTGCCCCACGGGGCGAGGGGGATGCCGCCTTCGGCGAGGGCTCTCCTCCCCCAGGGGCCTTCCCGGGGCTGCGAGGGGTGCCAAGCCCCCGAGACAGCTGACAGGGCCCTCTGTGTGTCAGGACCTGGGTGCAGTCTTTCACCTTCAATCTTCTGGCCGACCCATCCCATCGCCCTGGAGGGAAGACCCAGGCCCACGGATGGTGGCCAAGCGGACAGTGGGGTCCAGAGCCCTGCCCCACCCCTCCTTGCCCTGTGTGTCGGGGAGGCAGGGGACACAGGGCACCTGGGCTGAGGCCCTCGCATCTGCGACTGGACCTGGCTGAGCCCCAGGCCGGCCTTTCTCTCCTCTCCCCGCCATGGCTGGGCCCGGCCCGATGGAGCTGGGAGGCTCCTTCCTCACGCCCAGCCTGGACGCGGGTTTACTTCTTCTTCGGGGAGCTGCGTTTCCTCCCCCAGCTTCACACACATGCTGCCTTCCCAGACGGTGCCAGACACCAGTCTGCTCAGCCCCGCTCCCTCGCCTGGCTCCTGCTCCCCACCTGCCCGGGCCTCAGGCTCCCGCCTGGGCTCCCAGACCCTCGGGGCTGAGACCCTCCTGTGCCCTCTGCCCTGTAGCTCCTGAGGTCCTGGGTCCGGAGAAGTATGACAAGTCATGTGACATGTGGTCCCTGGGCGTCATCATGTACATCCTGTGAGTACAACCGTCTCCGCCTCCTGCACCCCATGTACCCTCAGAACCACAGGCTGCCCCTCCCCCGGTCATGGGCCGCCCCTCCTCCGGGCCGCCTGAGGCCTGTCCACACCAAGGGCAGAAACCCCCGGGGGGGGCGGGGACAGAGGGCTGGCATTGTTGCCATGGCATTCGGCTGCCTGCCTCCCCAGTTAGGAGCTGGGGGAGAAGAAAGGTCCGCCCTGGCACTGCCCCCACCGGTGCCAACGCCCTCCGCCCTCCGCAGCCTGTGCGGCTTCCCGCCCTTCTACTCCAACACGGGCCAGGCCATCTCCCCGGGCATGAAGCGCAGGATCCGCCTGGGCCAGTACGGCTTCCCCAACCCCGAGTGGTCGGAGGTCTCCGAGGACGGTGAGTGAGCCTCTTCGCCGGACCCTCAGCCTTCACCCTGCAGACCCCACTCGGGGGTCAGACCCCCCTGTGTTCAAGGGCTGGCTCCCCTGCCTGCCAGCTGTGTGCCCCGAGGCAGGTCACCTGACTCTTTTGAACTGCGGTTTCTATCTCTGTCAGATAGGGTCAGCATTTGGCTCCTTGCAGCTCCCGCTAACGCCCGGGCCCCGTCCCTATTTCCCTGCGGGGACCACGGGCAGGCCTGCCTGTGTCCGTCTCCCACTGCTGCTCAGCACATGGCCCCAGACCCCGGCCGGCCGACAGCGTGGGTTAGGAATCTGGAAGCTTGTGGTGTCTGGGGCGCGATGGGGGGCTGTGCCCTCATCCCTCCCCTCTCATCCTAGCCAAGCAGATGACCCGCCTCCTGCTTAAGACGGACCCCACGGAGCGCCTGACCATCACGCAGTTCATGAACCACCCCTGGATCAATGTGAGTGCTGCCTGTGGTGGGCAGGGTGGCCAGCAGCGCTGCCAGGCAGGCGGGCGATGGCTCGGGGGGCCTTGGCATGAGCCACAGATGTGTGGCAGTGCCCTGCCTCCAACCTCACCTTGCCGCTGCCCCCCGCCAGGCTCCTTCAGCTCCCTGAGCCTCGGTTTCCCCATCTGAGCCTGGGAGAAGGGGTGGGGGGAGCCAGTGATGTGCCTGCCACCGGGTGCCCGCAGGCTCTAACCCACGTGCGTGGGCCCCTTCCAGCAATCCACGGTGGTGCCACAGACCCCGCTGCATACAGCCCGAGTGCTGCAGGAGGACAGAGACCACTGGGACGAAGTCAAGGTGGGTGAACCCGGCCTTGCTCTCCCTGCAGGTCCCAGGGTTTTGGGAAAAGGGACACCGGGGCGATGGCTGCTCAGAGTCTGGGTCTTTGGCCCTGGCCCGTGCATGGAGCACCATGTCTCCGTGACTGCACCTGCGGTCTCCCCATGGCACGTGGCGCTGCACTGCCCCCTCCTGGGCGGAGCGCCCGGCTCACTCCCTCACCCAGGGGGCTTTGGCCGTACCCTGTCTTATGATCTAACCACTGGGGGCGCCGTTCAGCCTGGTTTTAGACGCACCAGAGGCCAGGTTGGAGCATACGAGGCAGCAGCTCAGAACCCCCGACTCCCCGGGCACAGTCTCCAGGCCCCAGTGCCTGTGTGTCCAGTGAGATCGTGTCCCTGCCGGGCTCGTGGTTCTGAGCCTGTGACACGGTGCGGGTCCCTGTCCTGCTCTCCCGGCGTGGGCCTGGGAGTCATTAGGCACTTCCTGCACCTTCGCGGGGGAGCATCATGCCCACCACAGAGGACCGTGGGGAGGACCGTGTGATGCGCACAGACAGGCCTCGTGCTGGGCACACAGTAGGTCCTTGGGCAGCAGAGGTGTCATCGCCTTCGCTGACTTTACGAAGGGGCCGCCAGGCGGGAGGGTGCTGGCCGTGGAGGTCGGTTCATCCTGACGTCTGTCCCAGGAGGAGATGACCAGTGCCCTGGCGACCATGCGCGTGGACTACGACCAGGTGAAGATCAAGGACCTGAAGACCTCGAACAACCGGCTCCTGAACAAGCGGAGGAAGAAGCAGGCGGGCTCCTCGGCCTCGCAGGGCTGCAACAACCAGTAGCTCCCGGGCCTCGGAGCCCGCGGGACGGACTGGAGGGGCTGAGGCCCGACACAGAGGGCCCAGGTCATTTTTTTTTTTTTTAAACACAAGGACTATTTTGCTGTGTTTTAATTTGCCACTTGGACCTTCAGGAGCGGGGACCGTGGCCCCACACCTCCTGCAGCGCCCAGTGCAGGCGCCGGCCTGAGAGGGCAGAGCCTGGGGCCGGGGAGCCACCCAGCTGCTGCAGTGCCTTCTCCCTGATGCCCTGCCCTGGCCGTGCCTTAGACTTCTAGGCCATGGGAGTTGTGGCTGGGCTTCCCTCCTACTATGAAAATGCCCCCCTGTGGGGTGGGCAGATGGGCCTGGCCTTGGGAAAGGCATCTGGCCATTGGTTGCCATGGTGACCAGGGACAGAGTTGCTGTCGGTGAATGCTGAGTGAGTGCACAAGGGAGGAGAAGGGGCAATTGAGGGTCGGTCTGCCTTTGCCTTCGGGGGAGGCTGTCTTTCTCCCACGCCTGCCCCCTCATTCCCGGCCTCTCTGGTCTCCCAGAGGCCGCAGGCTCAGCCAGCCTGCGTCCCGGGGTGGTCCCCGTCTTGCACCCCCATCCCACAGGGCCCTTGGGGCTCCTCCTCCCCAGGCCCTGGCCCAGCCCTCCCGTTACCCCCCTCCCCAAGGAGTGGCCTCTCATCTCAGCGGAGGGTGGGAGGTATTTTTAGCGCTTTTCTACTTTGGAAAATGTCACTGTGACAAAAGCCAGTTCCTCTGCTCCCACCTGCTCCCGGGATCCCAGACCAGAGAGCCTCTCCCCGTGATGGTTCGTTCTCCGCCTGCCCTGGGGGGCCCGGGACTGCAGTGGGAGTGGATGGCTGCAGGCGGGGCCAGGAGGCTCCCTGTTCATCAGGGGTCTCTCTCTCTCTCTCTCTCTCTTTCCTAGAGAGAATGGAAGGGAGGGTAGCGGGAGAGAAAGAAACATCAATGTGAGAGGGACACATCGATGGGTTGCCTCCCCCATGTACCCTAACCAGGGCAGGGATAGAGCCTGCAACCGAGGTACGTGCCCTTGATCAGAATCAAACCCGGGACCCTTCAGTCCTCCAGCCGACGCTCTATCCACTGAGCCAAACTGGCCAGGGCTCAGGGGCCACTTTTTACCCACATCAGACCCGAGGTGGTGGGAGGCTGCTGAGTGACGCTTTGAAAGTCTGGTCCCGGCCCGCGCCGGAGCGAGAGCATTCCTCCAGGCTCACCCAGTGCCACGTGCCCCCGATCGGGTCTGCCAAGTGCCTGACACCCAGCCTGGTTCCCGGCTCCTCACCCTTTACTGGCGGGGAAACCCTAGACCATGCCACATGGGAAAGCACTGCTGGGTGGTCGGATGAATAAACACCATTTGGCATTTCCCCCTGGCTCCTGGCTTCTCTTCCTGGGTATGAGTGGACAAAAGTGGCCGAGGGCAGCCACTCACACCCACGAGTGATTTTACACTCATTGGAGAGGGTGCCTCGGACCGATGAGCGGGCCTGCTGGCTGGAGGGCCGTTGTGCCTCCACACCCCCCCCCATCCGCCCCAGGCACGGGAAGGTCAGAAGAGAGGAGGACGGCAGCCACCCCCCACCCCGCTCTGTGCCGCTGTGCACTGTGTGTGTGACACCCACCCCCGGCCCGTGTGCGCCAGCGTCTGCCCACAGCGGCCGCCCCCAGCTGTGTGCCAGCCTGCTGAAGGGCAGGCACAGTGCCTGCTGCAGCGCTGAGCTATTTTCAGAAGCTGCCAGATTTCATTTGGCAGCGAGAATGTTGGGGAGGGGAGGGGGCGGGACGCTGGAGACTGCCTTTTGACAATGACTTCAGCAGCGGAGCACCCTCAACCCTGAGGGGCCCTGTGGGCAGCCTCGAGGGGGGCCCTGACTGTGGCATATCCCCTGCCCTCCCCCCCACTCCTATCCTGAAACCTCCCAGATTTCGAGGGCTCGTGGACTCTGCAGCAGCTCGCCTTCCTCCCCCGGGGTGTGGGGGAGTGAGGAGGTGCTGGAAGGCAGGGCCAGGCTCCCAGTCCTGAGTTGTGCACTGCTTCCTGCCTGGCGACCTTGCACATGGCCTCCAGCTTTCCTGCCTCAGTTTCCTCCACTGTGCAGTGGGACGATAGGGCCTACCTGGGAGTCATCTGCGGGCTCCTGCGGTGATGCATGTGAAGGACTGAGGGGCGCCTGGCACAGGGCTTGTGCCCAGCACCCATTTGCCGTCCCAGCAACCTGAGCCGTCAGGGAGAGAAGTGCTGGGAGTTGCTCGAGGGAAAATCAATCCAGCCCCAGATCTACCTCCGGGTTTTCCACGCAGAAAACCAGGCTTTGTCCACCTGTGGGGCTCACTCCCCAGGGCCCGCTCTCCAGAGCAGCATCACGTGGCTTCCTGGACCCCGGCTCCAGCTTGGGCTTCACGGAGGGGCCCACCCTTCTGAGGGGCGCCTGGCTCCCGAGGAATCCTGGGTCTCAGAGAGGCTGTGGTCAGACCCGCCCCGTTGTGTACTCTGCCCAGTGAAATGATGGCGGATGCAAAGGCGATGGGGTCTGTCTAGTCACCGAGCTGCAGAGACATGGACTTCTCCCTTTGGCTACCGAGCACCCCCCGGGGCCCGGACCCCGTGCTGGGGGCAGGAGGCAGCGTGGGAGCACATACAGGGTCTCGCCCCCGGGAGTTCACCCTCGCAAAGAGAAGAATAAAATACCACACGGACACGTGTTGCATCTCGGGCGTGAGACGGTCTGTGAAGGCAGGACGTGGTGTGTAAGGAGATGTCACGGGCCAGTTTAAGCCAAAAGGGGGACTGTATGCGCCCCCGTGGCTGGGATGTGCCCATAGGTTCCGGGCTGATGCAGAACTGCAGGGACTGCGCCCCTCAGCTCTGCCTGTCTGTCTCCCGGGGCCGACCTTGATCTTGCCCGCCGGCATGGCCTCCACACGCAGGACCATGGCTTTGGCGGTCTCGGCATCTGCTCGGGCGTCTGTCGCCTGAAGTCCCAGGGAAGGCTTCCCGCTGGCACCCTGGCCCTGTGCTGTTTCGGGGGGAGCAGAGGCAGTTAGCAGAGGAGCGGATGGAAGGGTCCCCCCAAGTCTCCAGTCCGCCGTGTCGCTTCCCAGGAGGAGCCTGGACGAGTGACAAGCCCAGCCCCGGGCGGGCCCCCTGCTCTCACAGACCAAGGCTGGGGGGCCGGGTGCCTGGCCGGGGCAGCCTCTTCGGCCTCCGCGAGGCCGTCTGGGAAGTGGGAGCCACTCCTGAGGGTCCGCTGGGACCGGGTGGCTGAGCAGCCAAGTGGCCGCACGCTCGCCTCAGCCTGTTCAGACGCAGCCATTTGCGGGGCTCCAGGTCACTTCCCTGGGAGCTTCCAATGAAGCCATGAGGAGTCTTCACACATGTGCACGTGCGGGTGCTTGTGTGTGTGCATGTGTGTGCACCGTGCCTGCGCGTGTGAGGTGTTTCTGCCCAGGGATGCGCCCCTGACCCAGCTGAGAGCTGAGCGCTCTGCCTTGCCAACCTGGCGCTGGCGGCTTCCAGCGGCCGGGCTCACTG